GTGTATTTCCTGGGTCCTTTGCCACGTGGGGGGGGAGAGCAGCCGGGCTGAGAGCCCCACTCTAGTCACAGACCAGGGCCCGGGGGTGTGAGGCCTGACTCCCCACCTCGTCCCTCCCCGACGCAGGCCGTGGGTCTGGGGAGGATGAAGCCCAACATCCTGGTGGTCGGGTTCAAGACCAACTGGCAGTCGGCTCACCCGGCCACGGTGGAGGACTACATCGGCATCCTGCAGTGAGTGAGGGCTCGCGGGGGGCGGGGCCTGGGTCTGTCCATTTGGGCCTTTGGGGTCCCTGGGCCTTGGGAAGGGCAGGGGAGCAGTGTTGACGTAAGACGCTGAGTCACTGGTTCACAGCTGAGAAAGGGGCCAAACAGGTAACACAGCAAAGTGGCCCAGGTGTGGGGCTCCAGGGAGCAGTGGGGACTGTGGCGAACTGGAGACAGGCTCTCGGCTCCAGTCAGTTGTGCCAGGAAGGAACATGGGCCAGCGTTGCCAGGTCTGCCAGGCCCACAGAGAAGCTGAAGCTGTGGGTGTTCAGGCGAAACCCTGTGCCCGCCTGTGGGCTGCAGGACAGATGCAGGTAGCCAGCGGAGGAGCTGAGGTAGCACCTAGGAGCAGGCGGTGAAACCAGGCCTCTGTGGGGGCGACAGCATGGGGAATGGACGGGGGGTTAACTCCACACCCTTCCTCGTTCATCTGGCGGGAATGTTACAGCAGGAGCTGGGGACACCTGCTCTCCGCTCCCCCAGCTCCCGCATCCCACGAGTCCAACCCCTGAAAGGTCCCTGTCCCAGAGACGTGCAATCCTTAGCCTGTTAGATCAGCCCTAATGGGGGGCCCTCGGACCCTGTGTCCACCTGCAGTGAGGGTACTCTGATACATGATCCATATAGACAACCCCTTCTTCAGTGTGTGAGCGTGGGCGGGCTACTCCCCAAAACTCGGCTTTTGGGCTGTGAAATGAAGTAATAATTCCCACCCACCCCCACCTCTGTTGCCAGAGTTGTGGGGATTATTCAAACCTATCAGGAGGACAGGGCCCGGCTCGAAGGCCGGTCTGACTCTGTTTCCCCCTGAGTGCAGGGTCCTGGGATCCACAGTGTACCAACCGCAGAGCCAGAGGGTCCTGGGGACCCTCCATGCTGCCTGTACATTGCACAGATGGGGAGACTGAGGTCCAGAGAAGAGAAAGGGGATGGTGGGAGGCAGGCCAGCTCCAGACCTCTGGTTTTTGGGGGGGCTGGGGGCCGGGGCTGCAGGAGCCTGACCCCACCTCCTCTCTTTCCAGCGACGCCTTTGATTTCAACTACGGAGTGTGCGTCATGAGGATGCGCGAGGGGCTCAACATCTCGGAGGTGATGCAGGCGCACAGTGAGTGCCCGCCCCGCTGCTTGGCACCCCTGTCAAAATCCGCAACAGGATCCCAGAAAGTTCTAGAACCCAATTTTTTTTAAGTGGTCGTGGGACGAGAGAGGGAAATGAGTAAGGAATGAAGGCCACAGACTCCTAGAAAGTCGTTTTTTTATGGCCCCTTAGAAATCATCAGGTTTCCAAATGGAGAAACTGAGGCCCAGGGAGGGGACGTGGTCCATTCAAGGTCACGCTTCTCGCTGGGGGCAGCCCAGGCCTCAGAGCTGCCGGAGCCGGTCAGTGCTTAAGTGACCAGATTGGCTAAGAAGGACCCGGAAAGAGGGGAGAGGAACGCCCAGGGGAACACCCGATAGGAAAACACACAGGAGGGCCAGGGAAACGGGACGTCTTGGTCTCCGAGACCATCGCTGGGCGCGGAGAGGGGTGTGTTTAGCGTGTAAAGTCACGTATGAATATGCGGACTCTGAGTTCATGCGAAATAAACGACACGCATGAAAACAAATGGGGGCTGTGGGCCCGGGAATGAAAGGGGCGGCTGCTGTTTCTCGCAGGCAGGGCCAGGGTCCCGAGTTCATGCGAAATAAACGACACGCGTGAAAACAAATGGGGGCTGTGGGCGGGGAACGGAAGGGGCGGCCGCTGTTTCTCGCAGGCAGAGCCGGGGTCCTGTCACCGCCAGGCCTGCCCGGCACGGGGCACGGGGCACGGGGCATGGGACACGGGGCAGTCAGTGAACATTCACACAGAGGGTCTTTGCGAGTGGCAGCCAGGCTCCTGATGATGCTGATCCAGGCGCTGGGGGTGCGGAGGGAGCTGCTGGGAGACGCAGGGGACCCACATCAGACAGTGTCGGAGGGGCCCAGCAGCCTCTCTGAGCCGGGGCCCTGGGGGGAGGCGCTCCTGGTCCCGGGGCACCCACCACCAGGACTGCGGGGGGAAGGGAGCCCTGTCTGAGGGATGGAGCAAGCGGGTGGGGCTGGAGCGAGATCCGTGGAAGGTGGGGTGTCAGACTTGCCTCCTTGCAAAAGGGGGAGAAAGAACTGGGGGTCCCGGGGCGAGGATGGTCTGGAACACAGCTGCTGTCCCTCTCTTGCAGTTAACCCCGTGTTTGACCCGGCCCAGGACGGCAAGGAAGCCAGCGCCAGCAGGGCCCGGCCGTCCGTCTCTGGCACACGTCCGTCCCCAGCCCGCTCAGGGCTCAGGGCTCTCCCCCCGCGTGGCAGCTAGTGGGGGCCGCGGGGGAGCTTGGTCAAGGGCAGGGGAGGCCCCTGGGATCTCTGGGGTGGGGTAACTGTGGGGGAGGGGTGGCTGGGGCAGCATTGATGACTGCAGACCTGACGGAGAATTTGGTGTCTGGGCATCTGGGCATCATGGGAACACACCCAGCAGGCTCTGGGGCCTGTGTCCCACCCCCTCAAGGCTCTCTGGCCATGCTCAACTGTCAGGGGAGGGGCAGGGTTTTCCTTCAGTTTCTCCCTACCCTCTTCTTCCCCCATTCCCCCCTCTGCTCCCGCCACGCTCTGGGAGGCA